CCCAGTCCGGTCTCCCAGAAAATACATTTGTAGGAAAAATGATCTTTGCAATACGATTCTGGCCTGTAGAAACTCAACCAGGGCAGTTGTGACCTCACTTTATCCTCGACAAACTGTCTGAAGTATAAATTACGGCTGTATACTGAAATGTGTTAATGTATACATGTGAATACAGTTCAGGGTTTTTTTTTGAATGGAAGGAAGTGATAATGAATGAACACACTGCTTTGCTCACTGTTTGCAACTTTAGGACAAAAAAAACAAACAAGTGGTGAACGTAATCCAGACATGTGTGTTTCCTGGATGTTGGGGGTGCAGAATAAAGCGTAGGACACCAGAGACTGTGGTTTGTGACCTGCATCCCCAATGTGGTTCGGTTTAGCCCACTAAAGCTGTGTCCTTGTCTTTGTCTTTTGTTAAAAAATTGTGTTTAAGTACACAATTTTTGTTTGTCACTTTTAGTCGACAAAAACTAAAAACAGTTTTATCTAGTTTTCTTCAATTGTATTTTGTGTCTCATGTTTCGGTCTTCCAAGCGTTTTTAAGCTGAAGCTTTAGCCATCTTTGTTGTGTGCAGTTAACACGTTTAACACACTGTCGTTCTGGTCTGTCGTGCGGTTACTTCCCCTTCGTTTATGTTTTCTTTTAGTATCTGTATTTAGTATTCAACAAAACAGAAGTCAGTTAACACGAAAGTTATAAGAAAATGTCAGAGAACATTAACTTTTAAATTCTGACAAAATTGTCAAGTCAAAGTGATAATAATCTGTTTCAGTACACTTATTATCACATAAACAGTGACATCAAATCCTCATACAGTGTGTATATACGTCTAAAATGATGAAAGCCCCCAAAAACATATAAACTACAAGGACACTAGGAGTTCACCGACCTCCACCAAGCCTGTTTCCAAAAGTGATATAATAATGTGCGTAATTCATGCATTGTATCTTCCCCGTGATTCCGATCTGCTCCTAAATCTAATGGGCTCTTCCCCGGCCCATGCTACAGCCAATTGGGCCGGTAGGTTTTCTGTAATCCTGTGAAAGCATGACCTCATTGTTTAACAAACACCTGAGAGAAGGCTGTGGAAAAATTTTAAGGGAAGACAACAAGACAACAATCCTGAGTGGAACACCGCCCCCCCCAAAAAGAAAAACCTAAGTGATTACAGAAGATATTAACTGGTGTTAAGACAAAGAAAACAATAGACAGGAATTATTGAAAACAGATTTTTCTTTGCAGAGCCAGGGTGAGATTACAGTGCGTTTGGCAGCTGGAAGAGGACTGAGGGGCTGTAATGCCTGTGTCACAACGTAAACACTCAGTGGCACTTTGATGGCGCTGGTTTATTACAGATAGCATTCATAAACAAAAGCACAAACAAACCAAACCCGTTGCTCTCGTCATCGATGCCCCCATTCTGCTCGCCTCGGAGCACATCTGTGTTTCAGCGCTCTGTGGCAAAACCGTGTGCCTGTGATATACACTTCACATGGGAGATCTCGATCCTCCATGCATGTGACAGTCCACTCATAAAGGCCATGAGAAGCATTAGGATGCGCCGCTGTGCTCGCAGCCCCGCTGACCCTAATTTATAATGCCTTCATTGTCTTGGCGAACACAGACGTATAGCAGGCGTAAATGAAGTAGGACAGGCACTTTAGCCGGGGAGATGAGGTGATTATAGCTCATGGATTAGTCTGCCTGGGCGAGGTGGATGATCAGTCTAACGTGTATGCACGCGCACACACGTGCGCAAAAGTGTGTGTGTGTGTGTGTGTGTGCACTTAAGCACACGGGCAAAAAAAACTGACCTGCATGTTTGTGTATACACAATTCAAGCATTTACGTGACACACACATGCATGCACGCATACACACACACACGACTTCACCGCAGCACCCAAACAAACACAGTGTGAGGCGGGTTTACTGTAAACGAAGCCCACGGGGAGATGATCGTGCTGCCGGCCAGTTTGGGTTCAGTTCGCTCACAAGTGATTTGATGCTTCGTGATGTACAGCAGGGGCATGTCGCTGGGATGTACATGGTTTATCTTTTAGATGGGTTCTGGTATGGATAGGAATACTTGCATGTTTCGTGAAGCCAGATGACCAGCGAAGCCAGGCTTCTTTCAGTTATTCAGCCTTATTTTTAGGAACTTGTTTCATGAAGGAGGTTTAAGTATAAGTCTGGCCTAAGATACATTGATAAACCCATCCCTTCAGAATAGCCTGGTCCAGGTCAAGTTAGTTTTCAGGCTCAGCTAGTTCCTCTTTACTGCTGAATGTGAGTCAGTTTGCATTACATGTCAAGTTTATCACATTTTGACATGAACTGGACAAAGGTTTTTTTATATGATATTCAGAGCATTGACATAGCAGCAAACAACTATTAGCTATGTAAATATATAGTGGAGTAATGTCTACCTGAGCAGGACATGTAGCTACTCTCCCTCTCTTGTGTGTTATCTGAGCTTCCGGCAGCGCATGCTCGTCTTGTGCATGTGAGCGTTGATAATGCCCTCCCCACTGACAGCATCCACGTGGCATCATAGCACCCAACTGTCTGGTTCCCCCTCATGTAAACACTGTTAGCTCTGTCAGTACTGTTACCGTTGTTGGGTCTGTTTGCACTGTTAGCTACGTTAGCTGTTAGCTGCCGGCTCGGTCATCTCCATGTTGAGATTCGAGCGCCTTTAAAATCTGATGATTCTGTCATGATGTTGTTTCTTTATCCACCTTAAGTATCTGCACAATACATTAGTCAAATCAGGATTTTAACTACACTAAAAATAAATACTATGAGGGGGCTATTATAAAACCGACCCATGGCTGTAAACATTTACATGACCTCAAATCGGTTTATTGAAAATGCAAAGGGGGCACTGCCAATCTGGTATTACAAAGGCTGATACCAAATGAGTAGCACAATCCAATTGATGGAGAATTTATCTTATTTTCTTAATAAGAAAAAACACAAAATATCACCTGACTGGGGTCCTTTATACGTCAAAGCTGTATCGTGACATCTTGCATCTAAATGGTGACTTTTACGTTGTTAATTGCAGCACTCTTGTTGCATGAATATACCACTCTTTATATCATGTGGTATTGAGGAAAAAGGCACATATTTTAAAATAACATCCACATTTTAACTATATAGCTATTTTTTGGATACAACCCCACTGAAGTTATCTTGCTCTGAGGCAGCACTGTGAACCACTTAGCCCTTTTCCCACTCAGTCACAGCCAGTAAAACATTTGATATGATAAATATAAAGCATTGGATGTGATGTGCCCCTTCTATTTCACTTCAATTTGCAGGTGATCAACCCAGAGCTTGCATCGTGGTCAAATAAAAAAACCTCATGATTTGAAAAATTACCCATCCATCTTTCGTGTTGCTTCTATTGAAGCGATTTAATTTGGTGCCATGAGAGCAGTAGTTTTGGAAATAAATGTACACACTGTGGCATCAGGGGCTTAATAAATGGACAGGAACCCTGAACCAGGCGAGATGGAGTTCAACGAGCCCGTTCAGGTGGAATAAATCAGGCTGTTTTGTGAGGAGCGCCGGCGGTGACTGTTCAGTGTCTCTGTAAAGTTTACAATCCTCCTGTTGAGCCCAGCGGCCCTCAGACGAGCTCCCTCAGTGGTACTGTTGTTATGAGGAGGATTAGACGGAAGTCTGTCTGTATCTGCTCGGCCTCACTGATGGGCTTTCTCCAAACTCCAACTAAATACTTTTTTTTTGTTAAATGGTTGAAATAGTCTCTTCTTCAGTGAGCAGTGTGTTGATTTCTTGCCAAAGAGACCCTGTGGATCCCCAGACAATTCCTGATGGTTTTCCCATGACCACCACTACGTGGCGCACTGAGTCAGGAACCCAAACCACTGCACAGCTCACTGTAGATCTACAGCCCTGGAACGTGAAGGAAGCAAAGTCTGAAATGTCTGTGGGACAAATGTGTGGCAGAGAAAGCATTAAATATTATTTTGAGGCAAATGAGAGGAAGTGAAAGCATTTTGCTTTTGTGCTGATATTGAACTGTGTGGCTTGTGTGGTAATTTAGAGCAGAATGGGAAATTTTGTTCCCCCCCACAAACAAGTGAAAAAACATGCCATGAGACACTTATCTGCTTTCAGGGCAATGTTGCCAGTTAAATGACTGTTTGGAAACCAGTTTGAAACCATTTCTTGTGGCAGGGAGCACTGCATTTACTGACAACACAATTAATTGTCAGTAAATTTAAAAAGAAAGTGGTTAAATTGCATTGAAAACAGCTGAACTTTGGTTCTGGCCTAATTGAATGACATCAAATGTTTGGGCAACCGGGACATTGATTGAGATCAAGTGAAATTAAGTTAAAGAGGAGCTCGTTGTGCAGCATGCTTGTGAAATGATCTGGGACCTGTAGCCTGGGAATAACAGATCCCCCCCCAACCCACCGGGAGGAGGGATGTTGTTTTTATAAACGAAACGCCCGTCACTCAAACCCCAAGCCAATGAGATTGTGAGCAACCGTGAAACTGTACTCTGCAAGAAATGTCAGCGGCAACAAACAACCCCCCCCCCCC